GGCTGTAAATCAATGTAATTCTGTACTCGATCATCTCCCTGTATCATAAAAATGTACGATGTCAGCAAAAGAAAAGGGTGATCTTCATTGAGTGTAGAAAAATACCCAAAAACATCAGTACCTCCGAATCTTTGTAGAACTTATAGATATCATCTACATATTCAACAACAGCCAAGTGATTCTCAGCATCATCTGCCTCAATGTCTGCGATCAATTCCTGTGGCTTATTCGCAATTCTGCAAACAGCCTGCAAGGATTCAAAAAAATTAAGAAAAGTTTGATATTAGAGATTCAAATTCACTGATTGAAAACTGACTTTTGACCTTAATTTGATGAAATTAGTGGGATTACCTTTCCTATGAGATGGATTATATGTTTGATGATGATGGAAATCAACACCAACACAAAGCAAACTACAGCAACAGCCCATGTCGGCGTCTGCCCCAGAGACCTTCCGTTGGAAGAACCTCCGGCCATGTTTCTCATCACTTCACCGTTGTCAGAAACACCAACCTAATTTTCGACTCAAAACCAAAAGTTCTCAAGGGTGATAAAATATTGAGGAATGATGATGTTACCGGATAAAAACAGAGGATATGTAATGTAAGTTTGCTTTGCATTAAGTGAAGAAGAGTGTTTATATGAACTTTTTGTGGGTTTGATTTTACTTATTCATTTAAGGAAATAATATTTTTTTTATTGTAAGGAAGAAAGAATTAAGGGAAGGGGCGCATCTTCAAAATGAAAATTAAGAGAAGGGGCAAAGTGAAAGACTTTGATTTAGTGAAGAAGACTGTTTATATATTATATGAACTTTTTGTGGGTCTGATTTTACTTATTTATTTAAGGAAATAATATTTTTTTTATTGTAAGGAAGAAAGAATTAAGAGAAGGGGCGCATCTTCAAAATGAAAATTAAGAGAAGGGGCAAAGTGGAAGACTTTGACTTAGTGAAGAAGACAATTTATATTATATGAACTTTTTGTGGGTTTGATTTTACTTATTTATTTAAGGAAATAATATTTTTTTTACTGTAGGGTAGGAAGAATTAAGAGAAGGGGCAAAGTGGAAACTTTGACTTAGTGAAGAAGACTGTTTATATATTATATGAACTTTTTGTGGGTTTGATTTTACTTATTTATTTAAGGAAATAATATTTTTTTACTGTAGGGTAGGAAGAATTAAGAGAAGGGGCAAAGTGGTAGACTCGACTTAGGTCCGTTTGGTACAGCGATTTTGGGGTAGTGGTTAAAATCACTAAATATATAGGTGTTTGGTAAATTTATATATTTTGAAATCGCTACAAATAAAGTGTTTTGTAAAATTTTTATTTAACGGTTTAAGATTAGCGGATAGCGGTTAGGGTCCAAACCGCTAGCGGATTGAAAAAGTTAGTTTATGTAGTTTTTTGTACCAAACTGCTAATGGATTAAAATTTTTTAATTTTATTGACAAATTCATCAATTTTAATTTTTTAATTTGTGGTCAAATTTTTAATTAATAATTATCTAATAAATTTCAATTTTGTTTTTTACCTTTAATAACATTAAGTGATTATAATATTTTTTTGTACATTAATTTATAATTAAAAAATATACTATCTTAAAA